CCTCTTTCCCGGCGGACAGGCACTGACTCCATGACAAGGGGACCCCTGGGAAGCCCCTGGCCCCTGCCTGCTGTGTGGCCTGGTGGCCAAGGCCCCATACTTTCAGAGAGGGCCTGTGGGTTTGACTCTGCACAGGGCCAGCATCCTCTCGCCCCAGCTTCTGCTCTTGCTTTTCCCAGCAGTGCTTGCGCAGCCGCTGCAGGCCAAGGGCCATCATATTTGCCATGCCGGAGAAGACTTGTTCCAGCCACCCATGCTTGAGTCCAGACACATCAGGCCAGAGGCCGGGTGGTCTGCCTTTGTTTGCGGCCACAAGAGCTGCCTGGACAAAGCAAAGCCGCGCAGCACATCCCCGTGGGCTGCGGGGACCAGTTTTCTCTGGTTGTTCATCAGGGACCACTGCAGGGTCCCAGCTCCTGCATGAGCCCAGCCAAGGGGGTGCAGAGAAGCGGGGCTCAGGGGCCTCCATCCCCAGCCCGTGCTTTGCAGCACCGTGCCCCAGCCCCCTAGGTTATCGGTGAGACCTGGGCTTGGGGGGCAGCTGCAGCCTCAGGCTGCGTCTGGGAGCTGAAGAGCCGTGTCCTGCAGAGCACGGCTATCTGGGCACCCAGGGAAGGCCGCCTGACCAAATACCCTCCCCGGGGCCTGGTTCAGACCAAGGTCGAGCTGTGGAGCTGCCTCCAGGGCCCCAGAAGGCAAAGGGCCACAGGCCAGGCTGCCACTGGGACCAACACCGCTGGGCCTTCTGTCCTCATACAGGGGTCACAATGTTATGCCGAGGAGGCCGTTTCTGCTGTCCAAATACCCACAGGGCCTTTGCAAGGGGCTGTACAGCAGCCAGCGCAGCCCCCACTGTGGGACACCCTCCTCCGCCCTGCGTTGGGAGGCAGAGCCTTGCACTGGCTGTGGGGGGACCTCTGAGCCCAGGGGACTGCTGCTCCCCATCCAGGGTCTGCAGAGAAGCTCCTTTGACCTTCCTGACAGGGTGCCCTGCCCTGTGTTCGATCGCGGCCACACATGGCCGCAGGCTGAATGCAGACCTGCCTGCAGCATCGCCTCTTCCAGCCCCTACAGCCACCTCCACACCACCAGCTTACCCTGAGCACCCCCCGTTAGTTTTATCAAGCCAAGTTCTCTGTTACAGCCACATCTCCTCTGGTCCCACCAGGCAGCTCCGGAGCAAGGATTCCTGTCCTTACAATACAACCCCCCAACTGCAGCAGCCACCAGGTCAAGAGCAAGCCTAGATGGGCCACTGCTCTGTTCTCATGCAGCCACATCTGAGATCCTGGCTGTCTCCACTGGCAAGAACAGAGCAGGACAGACAGGAAAAATCCAAGGCAGCATAATGGGCAGGGGAGGCTGTGACTGGGATGGCACTGGGTGACAGCTGGGTGACACCTGCTGGAGAGGACAGCAGGAGAACAAAGCTCCACAGCCTGCTGCATTGCCAAAGAAGAGTAAAGGGGCCAGGATACCTTTACGGAGGAGAAATGCTGATAGAAAGGGGCCTGATGTGCGCAGTTTGCTGGCACCAAGCTACAAAACAATGTAGTGGGTACGTGGGTTTTTCCAGGCTTCTGCAATTTGCTGGTTGCCCCATCGGGCCAGGAAGGGCTTCTCTCCCCTCCTGGTGCTACATGTGTCAGGGTTTATCTTTTTTCACCTTACTCAGAGGCACTGGGTGTGGGCTACAGCCAAACCAGGGGACTTTGACTGGGGTGTGCCGGTGTTCTTCCTGGGACTGAAACCTGGAGGAGCCTGCTTAGAAGGTCTTCTTGGTCAGGGTCAGGCCGATCACCACATCAGGAGGAGGAAGGAATTCTACCCCACAGTCAGACTGGCCTGTCCTGTAGGGGTTTTGCTATGTAGTGAAGGGGAACATGGTCCTCTTCCTTTCATCCCCAGTATATTTAACAGCCTTGCAGTGGCACGTGCCATTGTCCCCCTGCTTTGCTGGTGACAGGTTCGGGTGCTCTCGGGCTATGTGCCTTGCAGGTGTGTGACACGGCTCTTTGTGGAGTGTAAGGACTAGGTTAGACGAGCACTTGTGTGTAACATCTTGGAAAGGGATGCGCTTGCCTTGAGCTGGGGGTTGGACTACCTGACCTCCCGGGATCCTGCTTTTCTATGAATCTGTGCTCTTCCCTAGCTCTGTCCCTTGGTCGGGGCCAGGCAGGGGCATTACCTGGGCTTTACAGAACCTCTTCATCTGGGCCTCCTTGGCACGACGGGTCAGCGTTCTCCTCCACGTGGGGTACTTCTCCTTCACTTCCAGAATCTCGGCCTGGAAGCAGAGCACAAGGGAAGGGGGCAAAAGAAGCCATGTTTCTTACAGGGCTCACAGCAGGCAGGGGAGAGCCTGAGAGACTGGAGACATCTTCAAGCCTGATAAAGGACTTAAATGAGCATTTCCCTATTGGCTTTAAACAGGCAAGTGGCCAGGCCCCAGCCAGAGAGCTGAGCGTCTAATTAGAGAAGAGGAGGAAGATGGAAAAAGCAGAACAGAGAGGTAGATGGAGGGGAACAGATGTAGCTGCAGGGAACAAGGAGCACTTCATTATAATCAGCTTCAAACTCACGTCTGCTAAGTACACAGCATCCTCACTCGCCGCTGCTGCCACTTCCTCCTCCTCTTCCTCATCGCTGTCGGTCTCCTGCAAGTCTGTCCAGAGAAGCGGCATTTAGGCCTGGCCCCTGCAGCTTGTCCTTGGGGGCTGGGGGTCTGCTCCCATTTGGGGATTCAGTCAGCCAAGCTGGTCCCAGCCCAAGGCTGCCAGCTCAGAAGCCAGTCAGTGCCAAGCAGGATGGAGGTTTTTATGAGCTGAGCACCCGTCTGTTGGCAACCGAACCCACCAACCTCACTGCGCACCACACAATGGCCACCGGGAGCTGCCTTCTGCCTAACCTGGGCTGGACGGGAACTGGTCCCCTGGAGAGGAAGGGGTGTTCCGATCCCTTTCCTCAGACGTGACCTAAATCATTGCCTTATGCAACATTTCTGGGAAGGCACAGATGGCCCAGCCCTCACTGCTCTGTCTGCCTGCCCCAGAGGGCAGTTTGGCAGGGCAAGCCACCCCACCCATGATACTGGGAAGGGAGTTCACAGCGGCACCCCGCAACTGAGCTGCATCGGGCCTAGAGACTCAGCCCGCAATTACCTTCCTCCTCCTCCTCCTCCTCGGGGAACCTGTGCTGGCCCCAGTCGACCTTCCCCCTGTCTGGGGCACTCCAGAAGGTCACCGCTTTGTGCCCTGGCCTGGGCTGCTGCGGCTGGGGCTCCCCCTGGATCTCTGTCTCAGCGTCTGAAGTCAGGTTCAGTGTGGCCAGCCTGAGCTTCTCCAGATCCGACAAGAAAATCTTCTTCCTCTTTCCAGCGTCGTCCTCCCGCTCTGTGTCCTCCCTGGACTCTGCAGGCACAGACACCTTTTCCAAAGGAAGAGGCTCTGGACTGGCGGGCTGCAGCAGCGTCCCCGGGTGGCTGTGTTCGTGGATGCCTTGTTCCTCCCGGTGAGGTCTGCTGTCTCCTAATCCAGGCCCAGGCTCCTCTGGCAGGACCCCGGCTCCCACCCCAGAGGGCACGGTGTCCCCTGCAATCTCCTCCAGCATCTCTTGGGCTTCCTGCTCATCCACACTGCTCAAAATCCCATTCTCACCGTAGGGGCTGATGGCCACCTGGTCTTCTCCAGCCCCTTCCCATGGCTCTGCAGGGTGATCTGCTGTCACTTGATTCGAGAGGGAGCCCGGGCTGCCTGGAGGACCTGGCAGATCAGAATTACTTTCCATTCTTGTTTCCTCGGAGGCCAAGCCTGGGCTGCCAGGGTCCAAGGCAGCACGGTGTTGGATGCTCCGGGACGGATCCTAGCAGGAACCAAATGCAGAGCATTAGCCTTCCCGGTGAGTTAGCGCTACGAGTGGATGTGGCTGTCTGCCGATGGCTGGGAGACAGCCGCAGGGGACCTCACTGGCTGGTTACCAGGGAGCCCCAGACTTCAGTTCCCAGACACAGCTGAATCTGCTGGGAGGGACCCGGGCAGCCCTCAGCTCAGCTCTAGAAGTGGGATCCTACTTACTGTGGGTGGCAGCACGTCCAGGCTGTGGGGGTTGTAGTGCAGCAGGCAGTAGAAGTGTCCTGAGGACATAAAGCAGACAGTGTCGTGAGCTGCCCCATCGCTCAGCGGACAGCTCCAAGAGTATGGCAGTACTCCAGCTGAGGTAGGTCGGGACCACTGGCTGCAGCAACACGCCATCTGAAGGGTTGGGTGTTGGCTGCAAGCAAAGCCATGGACTTCGACCAGACCGTGCCAACACTCCTGTAGGCCACTGGCTAGGTTCTTGCCTTTCCTGGGATCTTGCCCAGAGGCTCTTGCCCTTCCTCTCTGGGTCAGACTGATAGCCATATCTGGAGTGAGAAAGGTCGGATTGGTGCAGACAAGGGGATTTTGCCTTCCTCTGCTGCGGAGGCACAACCCTCTTTCTTGCATCTCTCAAATGTATTAACCAGCCTTGCAAGCAGGACACAGCCAGTGCCCCCGTCCCCCCTCTGCTTTATCTGCAGCAGGTTCAGGTGCTCTTGGTGTCTTCAAGCTGTGTGCCTTGTAGGCATGTGATCGGGCTGATTGGTTCGACAAGCACTAGTATAGGATGGCTTGGATGAGGATGCACCTGCCTGGAGCCAGGGGCTGAACTGGGTGATCTCGCATGAAAGGAGGATAGGAGCCAAGAGAAATGCAGCCACTGCCTGCCTGTCTCAGGTCCATGACAAAGTGATGGAAAAGGACCACAGGGGCTGAGCCAGGTCAAGAAAACTCATGTGACTTCTCAGATGGGAAGGTGGCTACTTGCTGCATCTCCAAGCCCAGAGCAGGTCAGCAAAGCCGATGCTGCCAATTCCCACGTTTGCTTTTCTGGAATCTTTTCTCTCAGGCTTTATGGAAGGAAACAATTTGCTCGCCTGGCACTCTGATAACGAGAACATCAACCCCACGCAGCTTTCCTGAGCCTGGAGGGCAGCACAGATGTTCCCATAAGGCGGGGGCTGTTTCTTTGTTCATTAAATCATAGAGAAGTGGGGCTGGAAGAGACCTCCAGAGGTTACATCTAGTCCATCCCTTGCCTGAGGCAGGATCAGTCCTGTCTAAACCATCCTGTCTAAAATCCATAATTTAACCTCTTAGTAAAATTACTGTCAGCCCTGACACAGCACAAGGCATCACACCCAAACCTGCCACAGGTAAAGCAAGGGAACCACAGCAGCCAACATCCTGCTTCTGTAAAAAGGTGGCTCAAGAGATCCCCGGTAGAGGCCAGTAGAGACACCAGTTAAACAAAAACTTTCCCCTGAGGTCCTCCACCTGCCCGTATCTCCCAGGAAGGAAAGGCTGGTGGCGAAACTGGCCAATGCATAGAGGGAACTGGTGTGGGGTGTGCCCAAAACTCAAAGAAGGGAAATAAAGGGAAAACCCCCTCA